TCAAGAATTGAAGGCTATTTTGCTATTGATCTGTTGAATTAGCCACTCTCTCTAAGACAAGTTAAAAATAAATAAATAAATTCCATTAATAACACTCTCTTGTGAAAGTGGTCATGAGCATTGCATTGGCCCCTTTCATGATAATATTCTGAATCATGCCACTTTTCTTACCTACTTTACGGTTCTGGAGTTTGCCTTTGTCACTGATACTAAATTATCCACCTTAGTCTTTAGATTGTCAAAAGATTAAAAAAAAAAAAAGCAAATAATTCATTATCTGACAATGACTCAGGTTCCCTAGAACACAACTAAGTGGTTAAGAGCTTATCTCATGTTCAAATCTTAAAATGGACTGAGAGGGTCACTTTTGTAACAAAGAAAAAAATGCAGAAGTGGATTGCTTGCATTGATGTTTTCATTGAAATATTGAACTTGCAATAAACAGACGTAGCACATAACATACCCACATCACAGAGAAAGCAACACCTTACCTTTGATGCCAACCAGCACTCCTTTTTACTCAAAATAACCTGAAAGAAAAAGGTTGAAACCCCATGAGTTTTTAGAATATTAACTGAATTATTTACAGAAAACAGATCTAATCGTTTTGTTATTTCTGGGGATGAAAGAAACAGGGGAAGAGAGAAAAGAAATTACCCGTTTAATTGACGAGTCGAATCTCAGATCCTCCACTTCCGCCATTTTTGTGAATTGTGAGGAAAAAAGGGATGCTGAGACAGAGAGAGCGGAACATGGGAATTGTTCGACATTTTTAATCAACCATGTTAGGCCCCCCACAGCCCCCACTAAAGCGTAAAACCCACTCCGTATTTTAACTCTATTTATTTTATGTTTGTACCTCACATTTCCATTGTTTAAAAATATATTAATAAGTCCGTACACGCCTACCTCTTGAACTTCTGATTTTTTGTTTTTTTACAAAGCTAATACTTAGTAGTTACGTTGGTAAATGTTAGCAATTGAAAATTCGATTTTTGAAATAGGTGATTTCTCACTCTTTATTGAGGTGCGTAGTTCATCGAGCTACTTAATAGAGTTCAATTTTTGATTATTTTAAAATAAAATTTTTATATTAATATTAAAAATCTGAATTAGGATGCACAAAAACTTTTATGTTTTGAAAAACTTTTGATAAGGGAATTGGGAATTCAATTAAAATTGAAAATGAAGAATGTGAAAGAAACCTTATATTGATTGCATCAAAATTGGTTGACTTAAAGCCTATAGAATTCAGATTGCATCTCAATTTCAAGAAACTAATTACAAACTAGTACATGATATAAAACAAAATAAACAAGCCATCTAAACACACCAATCTAATATGAACAATGTGGCTCTGAACAATTAACTATAGGCCAGTTACAGTCAAAAAAAAAACTATGGTCTTGTTTCTCCGATTTTAATTAATAATCATCCATGTTTATCCTTTTGGCTTTGTCAAGGACCATTGGAACCACCTCATCTGTTTATTTAAATATGGCACTATAAATTTGGCAGATGGTGCTAAAATTAAAAATAAAGGTCAAGAAATGAAGGTTAGTGATTGTATTAACCGCCACCAGATCATTAATTTCAAATTCCAGAAAATATTTACTAAAAAGGGGTAGTGGATAATTCATCATCTTCAAATAAGTCAAACAGCAGTACCAGCAGCAAGAAAATGTTATCAAGCATATGATGGAATTGCTCTAACAAAATCAAAACCCATCTTATAGTTCTGCATCTTGCTCTTGTTACCTCAAAGACATGGCCGCTCCTAGATCATCCACTCTTGTCTTTAGATTTTCATAAAGATTAAAACAGCAAGCAAACAAATCATCATTATCTACTAATGAGTCACTATGAACAAAAACATGCAGAAGAGAAGAGATTTGTTTAGATTGTTGTTTCCATTGAAATAAACAGACCTAGCACATAACTTAAACATACCCACTGCACAGAGAAAACAAGACCTTACCTTTGATGCCAATCAACAACACTTTTAACTCAGAAACCTGAAGAAAAGTTGAAAAGCCATGAGATTATATAATTAGTCACATAAAATAGAACTGATTTCCAGTTTTGTGATTTCTAGAGATGGAGAAACAGGGGAAGGGAGAAAAGAAATCACCCTGATTGCCTATATAAATTCCCAACCCTCCATTTTTGTGAAGAAACACAAAAAAAGAGTAATATGGGAATTGATGATTTTAGTCCTACCGTACATCTCTTGATCATCTGACTATAAATTAGGGTTTATGTTTCTCTCCAAGTCTAAATTCAAAAGCTTTTAACAAGCAAGTTGGGAATTCAATTAGAACAGAAAATGAAGAATGTGATAGAAACATATATTAAGGACATCAAACTTTAGTTGAACTAAAGCCAATAGAGTATCTCAGCTTCAAAGAAGTTATTACAAATTAGATGATACAAAAACAGAAGGGAAAAACAAACCATCTAAACAGACCTTTAAATTCAAAAAAGAAAAAAATAATAAAATGAAATTAAGAGGAGAGGTTGGAATTGTTGATGAGGGATCCTGTGGTAGTTGAAAATAAATACTGGAATTTCACTTTGCAAGATGAGTCCTTGGGGTGATGAAACTCCTTGTACCTAAAAAGCAATAATAAGAAGTGATTTGCTCTGTTATTTTTTTGAATCAAATAATGAAAGTTGTTATACAAGATTGGCATAAATGTGTACCTACTTCTCTAGGCTGTAGGGGGAGACTGATGGCTCTTAAAACTTCAATTTTATTCACCATCCGGAAACATGCTCTGTCACCAGCAAACCAAATGCTGCTACAATTAAATAAAGGCAGTCTTTCAAGTTACTGAGGCAGATTCTCATGTTGTTGAACAACAGATGTTTCCAAGGATGATCTAACTTCACAGCCAGACTCCCACAAAACAAATGATTGCTCCTAGTTGCATACCTGGTTCAAACGATTTCCAGAATTCTACTCCGTCTTCTTTGTTTTCTTTGCCACCGCAGTCTGTTGGCTTGCTCTTTGATTTTTCTTCTTCCAGGCAAGTTGGTCTTAGAGGAAGCCCACAGAGTTCAGGATTATCAACAAATGCAGAAGCATCAAAGGTCTGCATTTCGGTTGATAATGGGATTCTTCCAGAAAAGTTGTTATATGACAGGTTCAAAGTGTTGAGAAAATTTAAATGGGACATGGTCCAAGGAAGCTGACCTGAAAGCTGGTTTTGTGACAAGTCAAGTGATTCTAACTGTCTAATCTGCCCAATATCTGAAGGAATCCTTCCTGTAAAATGATTTCTTGACAAGTTCAGCTGATGCGGTCCAGAGAGACTCGAAATCTTGACTGGAATTTCTCCTGTTAATTTGTTGCTTGAAAGATTGATGATCCTCAGACTCTTGAGATTACCATCTCCATAATCACATTCCATTCCTTTCCACATTACAGATGCTTTGTCAACGTAGCTTCTTGCATGAAAGAAATACAAATCAATACTTAATAAACCATGCTTACTGACTGAACTTTCCTTTTTTGTTAATGCAGTCAGATTATGTATGCACCTTGATATGCTTTTAGATAGATTGTCGTTGGAGAGATCCATTAGCATAATATTTGTCAAACAGCATAACTGCAAGGGCAAAATCATTGGATCTCAGCAGGAGGAAAGCTAGTGATCTTAGCCTTTCTCCAATTCAAGCTGGTATTATTCCAGAGAATCTATTATAACTCAAATCCACAAATTGCAAGGCACTGCAATTCCCTAAAGACCAAGGTATTTCTCCAGAGAAACTGTTGTCGCGCAAATTGAACGTTTCAAGTTGGTACAAAGATCCAATAGAGTTGGTACAAAGCCAAATTCACAATTACTAGACTTGTCTATCGTGTCAATGCAATTAGGAAGCTGGCCGGATAGTTGATTGTGCCAAAGATCAAGGAAATTAGGGATCATACTAGTTATGGTACAAAGCGAAGAAATTGAACCACAAAACCTATTTTTTGAGAGGTTAATGAATGTGACATTATGAGGGAATGCTGGTAATGGTAATGGACCCTCCATATTATTTCTATTCAAATCCACCCCAAGAGAACCAGAAATTATCATTGACAAATCTGGTACAATTCCAGAAATCATCGTGTTCCCGTGAGAAACCCTATCCGACTCCTCTCGACAATTTAAAATGTCACTTGAGAAAAATATGGTTATTATATTAGTTGTAATTGCTGATGAAGCATCACCATATGCTCAGTTGCATCACCATATGCTCAGTTTTTTGGCTACCTACATTGAACTCTCTCCATT